CGATCGTGGTACCCGACCGGTGAGGGACGGTGCCGGAAGTGCTCCAGGACAGGCCGCCAAGACTCACAGTGAGTTACCCTACCCAACAGCCCCCAACCACCACCCACGCCCCTGACATCACCTCCACGACCCCCGGTACCTACATATTTGACGATGGCGATGGACTCAGGGCGTCTTGTTCGACCCATAGCCACGGAATCGGGAATTATAGGGGGACGGTTCTTGGCCAACCTCGAAATCCGGTCCGGGATTGCCCTACCAGAGTGCAACAATACAGAATATGGAATGTCGGTCATGGATTGTCACTCACAGATTGGGTTTCAAGTATTGCGAATATCATGATCCGAGATTGAAATCCGAATTACTGTTAGAAAACACACACGGGCAGTAAGCTAGAGATCAGAATCCGAGTCGGTGCAATAAAACGCACCGGAGTCAAGGAGTGGGATTCGCCCAATGCGGTAACCCGGAGGTCAGAATCCGAAATTCATGTATTCCATCGAAGCGGAGGATGGGGAAACTCGGCATCGTTAAATTTCGAGCGCCGTCATGATCGTGAGGTTGAGACGGTGCGTTCGGTACCATGCAGGCATCGATCGTGGTACGCGACCGGTGAGTGACGGTGCCGGAAGTGCTGCAGGACAGGCCACCAAGACTCACAGGGAGTTACCCTACCCAACAGCCCCCAACCACCACCCACGCCCCTGCCATCACGTCCACGACCCCCTGTACCCACATACCTGACGATGGGGGTGGACTCGGGGCGTCCTGTTCGACCCATAGCCACGGAATCGGGAATTGTAGGGCGACGGTTCTTCGCCAACCTCGAAATCCGGTCCGAGATTGCGCTACCAGACTGCAACAATACACAAATGTGTATTTGGTGGAGATTGAATCTGTGTTGTGGGTACTTAGGGTTACAACCGTCCCTCTCAAAGTGTAATACAGAAATCTGTATTTGGTGGAGGTTGACACTGGTATGTAGCTAGTTAGGGTTACGAGTGGCCATCTGGAATTGTAATTCAGAAATGTGTATTTGTTGGAGGTTGAAGCTGGATTGTGGGTAGTTAGGGTTATGAGTGGCCATCTTGAATTTTAATTCAGAAATGTGTATTTGGTGGAGGTTGAAACTGGATTTTGGGTAGTTAGGGTTACCAGCATTCCTCTCGAAGTGTAATACAGAAATCTGTATTTGGTGGAGGTTGACACTGGTATGTAGCTAGTTAGGGTTACGAGTGGCCATCTGGAATTGTAATTCAGAAATGTGTATTTGTTGGAGGTTGAAGCTGGATTGTGGGTAGTTAGGGTTATGAGTGGCCATCTTGAATTTTAATTCAGAAATGTGTATTTGGTGGAGGTTGAAACTGGATTTTGGGTAGTTAGGGTTACCAGCATTCCTCTCGAAGTGTAATACAGAAATCTGTATTTGGTGGAGGTTGACACTGGTATGTAGCTAGTTAGGGTTCCGAGTGGCCATCTGGAATTGGAATTCAGAAATGTGTATTTGTTGGAGGTTGAAGCTGGATTGTGGGTAGTTAGGGTTACGAGCGTCCCTCTCGAAGTGCAATGCTGAAATGTGTATTTGTTGGAGGTTGAATCTGTGTCGTGGGTAGTTAGGGTTACCAGCATTCCTCTCGAAGTGTAATTCAGAAATGTGTATTTGGTGGAGGTTGAAGCTGGATTGTGGGTAGTTGGGGTTACGAGCGTCCTTCTCGAAGTGCAATGCTGAAATGTGTATTTGTTGGAGGTTGAAGTTGAGTTGTGGGTAGTTAGGCTCTGAGATACACCAGACGATACAAAGAGATTTCTTACCTACCTACCGAGACTGGTATGCCCCGCAATGAGAGTTTTGTGTACTTTTATCATGTGATATCGTCGTAATATATCTAGATGCAAAGTAAACTCCTAGCGTCTCCATACTAGTATTTTTGCCCCGGTTAACAGCTTTCAGAAGCAATTTTTTTTGGGCCAACGGGATAACTCGCCAAAAGTTACATTAACAAGAACATCATTTCCACCAACCGTCACACATGGATAGCAACGATACAGAATACAGATTGTCGGTCATATATCGTCAGTTACATATTGTTTTGGAAGTGTTCTAAATAGTGCGGTTTGGGATTGAAATCCAAATTAGTTTGAGAAAAGACATCTGTGGCATGTAGTACGATTCGGCTAAATATGTAAACAGGAGGTAAGAATCAGGATTGTTTCAACATGGTAACCTATAGGTCAGAATCCGAATCAGTTTAAGAAAACCCACAAGAGATGAGGAGTGGGATTCGCCCGATGTGGTCGCCAAGACACACAAGGAGTTACCCTACCCAACAGCCCCCAACCACCACCCACGCCCCTGCCATCACGTCCAAGACCCCCGGTACCTACATATTTGACGATGGCGATGGACTCAGGGCGTCCTGTTCGACCCATAGCCACGGAATCGGGAATTGTAGGGCGACAGTTCTTGGCCAACCTCGAAATCCGGTCCGGGATTGCCCTACCAGAGTGCAACAATACACAATATGGAATGTCGGTCATGGATTGTCACTCACATATTGGGTTTCAAGTATTGCGAATATCATGATCCGAGATTGAAATCCGAATTACTGTTAGAAAACACACACGGGCAGTAAGCTAGAGATCAGAATCCGAGTCGGTGCAATAAAACGCACCGGAGTCAAGGAGTGGGATTCGCCCAATGCGGTAACCCGGAGGTCAGAATCCGAAATTCATGTATTCCATCGAAGCGGAGGATGGGGAAACTCGGCATCGTTAAATTTCGAGCGCCGTCATGATCGTGAGGTTGAGACGGTGCGTTCGGTACCATGCAGGCATCGATCGTGGTACCCGACTGGTGAGTGACGGCGCCGGAAGTGCTGCAGGACAGGCCGCCAAGACTCACAGGGAGTTACCCTACCCAACAGCCCCCAACCACCACCTACGCCCCTGCCATCACGACCACCACCCCCGGTCCCTACATATTTGACGATGGCGATGGACTCGGGGCGGCCTATTTAATCGGTAAGCACGGAATTGGGAATTGTGGGGCGACGGTTCCCAGGCAACCTCAAAATCCTGTCCGACATTCTCCTACTAGAACCCTAGGTGGCTGACGACTTTTGTTTAACTGCTCCTAAAGTGGTCTTTCTATTGTGCTGGCATTGATGTCTCCCTCCCCTCAATTTAGCTTTGTTTTGTTGCAGTTTTGTAAAAATTTACGTTTCCGGCTTGTTACTTGAGTTAGTGTACAATATGGTGCCTACTTGCTATTGATACAGGGTAATTTAGTACACAATCTGGCACCAAGTAGATGTCAATTAAATCTCCGTTGTACAGCTATTTGGGACTCGATCTAGCCATTGCTTTGGTTCTTACATCGGTTTTCGTAAAGTTATCTAAATCTAATAGTAGATGCAAGCAGAAGGTGGTAATCAAAGTAGCAGGTAAGGTACCAACAGCTGAGGTATGAATGGGGAATCCTCACAGTATATTCTGTAAAATTTGATATCATTCGCCACTGACCAAGGAATCAGAACTAGGTTACGGCATATATTGTATTTCAGATCACCCAAATAAGCAAAGCATGATTGGTCATCTCAGAGATTGGTTAACCATGGTAGGTGAAAACCACAGGGAGCATGGAGAGCCCAGATTAGTGGGATTAGTGCACCGTTGACAGCTAATTATATATGACTCCATTGTTTTTTACTGATCTGGATTTGTTGGCGGAGAGGTGGTGGTGCAAGCCCAGGCTATGAAGGTGTAGGCTGTGGAGGTGAGAGTTATACCTGAGAAAGTAGTGAAACCTTGCAAACCTGTATGTATTGCAGGTGCAAACTTGCTTTCGGTCAGGACGCAATGCATCCATACAGGTAAAACAATCGCTTCACGACGCTTGTTCTAGGAGGCAAAAGCAAGTCAACCGTACGTCCCCTATATATCAAAGGAGAAGTGGGTGAAGGGGACTGTACAGCACGTAGAACTGCATACTATAGGGGTCTCCGTGTTTTTGGGGATGGGGGGCTAACCTTAACCCTAAGTTCACCCCATCAGAAATGAGTATAAATTTAGTACACAATCTGGCACCAAGTAGATGTCAATTAAATCTCCGTTGTACAGCTATTTGGGACTCGATCTAGCCATTGCTTTGGTTCCTACATCGGTTTTCGTAAAGTTATCTAAATCTAATAGTAGATGCAAGCAGAAGGTGGTAATCAAAGTAGCAGGTAAGGTACCAACAGCTGAGGTATGAATGGGGAATCCTCACAGTATATTCTGTAAAATTTGATATCATTCGCCACTGACCAAGGAATCAGAACTAGGTTACGGCATATATTGTATTTCAGATCACCCAAATAAGCAAAGCATGATTGGTCATCTCAGAGATTGGTTAACCATGGTAGGTGAAAACCACAGGGAGCATGGAGAGCCCAGATTAGTGGGATTAGTGCACCGTTGACAGCTAATTATATATGACTCCATTGTTTTTTACTGATCTGGATTTGTTGGCGGAGAGGTGGTGGTGCAAGCCCAGGCTATGAAGGTGTAGGCTGTGGAGGTGAGAGTTATACCTGAGAAAGTAGTGAAACCTTGCAAACCTGTATGTATTGCAGGTGCAAACTTGCTTTCGGTCAGGACGCAATGCATCCATACAGGTAAAACAATCGCTTCACGACGCTTGTTCTAGGAGGCAAAAGCAAGTCAACCGTACGTCCCCTATATATCAAAGGAGAAGTGGGTGAAGGGGACTGTACAGCACGTAGAACTGCATACTATAGGGGTCTCCGTGTTTTTGGGGATGGGGGGGGATAACCTTAACCCTAAGTTCACCCCATCAGAAATGAGTATAATATAAGCGCACCATCGCTGCTGCCCTGAAGAGCTTCATCATACAGCGAAACAGTAACTGAGTACCCAAATACCTTTACTGTCGGCACCATCTTGCAGCTCTTCTTGAGATCCTCGTTCCTCATTTACCTAACTCTAAATTCGATCTCACCATGTCCACTCAGTCCACCTCCCAAAGCCAGTCCTCCTCCTTCCCTCGCCAATACCAAGGCCTCCGTTTGCCTGGTAACATCGGCGACGTCCCCATGACTAAACTTGGGGACGTTAGGAGGGCTCCTCCCTTCCTCAAAGGTCAGGCCAACGTCATCGGCCAGACCAACGTCCCTCTAGATGAGAGAGCATGGCAGGCGCAGGTTCATGCCGCCATGCTCACAACAATCGACGAAGACGGACACCAACCAGAGGATCACTACGTCTCCCCACTAGCGAACCTCCTGTCCTCCATCCCACCGGCGGAAAAGATGGAGGACATCAAACGTCTCCTACACCCCTCCTTCCGTATGCGATGCTTCGACGTATTGCTGTCTGCGTTTGAGACAGCTACGAAGATCGTGGGGGTTCAATCCGCCATCAAAGCACTGAAGAAGCAGTTGTTCGAGAAGAAACTCCCGACTGCAGTCAACCCTATCGTACGGTCGAAGGTTGGCACTCAGTTCACCTCCCTATACCCCACGGAACTCAGGGAGAAAGCGGCTCGGGATATGGCCGCTATCCAGCAAGAGTGCGCCCTCAGACTGCATCAAACCATCATCGAGCAGAAAGAGGCAGAGCTCGAATACCTTCAAGCCCTAAACTCCTTAGGGAATCTAGACGAACTGCTGCGTGCGGCAGTTAAGAAAGATTTCCTGAGTGCCAAGCTCCAACACGGGTCGCGCCCGGGACAGGAGGATGTCAACATGGATCTAGGTGATACCCCAACTGAGTCGAGAGACCAAAGGGATATCGCTGGAGAAATGGAGATTCCCCAGTTTTTGTTGGTAGAGAGGGATGCAGCCTTAGCGCTTGCCCCTTTATTGGCAGTACGTGTCCTTGAGATGGCACGTACGAGGCAGGCAAACAAAGACTACCTCCTTGAGAAGAAAGTTTCTCTCAAGGAGCGTACGATCCTTCAAGTGGCACAGGAAACCCCTGAGTCAGAGGAAGCTAGACTTTCTCGACTCATTAAGGGAATCCTCTTGAAGGATAAAAAACAAGCCAAAAAGACCAAAAATGTAAGAGAGGGTGACCCCCTTGTTGACTTTGCGCCGCTTACATTTATAGGTCAAGAAACCGGCTGCCCCAAGGGAAACAAACCTCAGGGGATCAAAAAATCGAAAGGAAAAGGAAAAGAGAAGGGGAAACCCCAATCCGCTCCACATCCAGCGTCGTCCACGAAGAGCCACAAGAGGAAGCCTTCAACAGACGGAAAAGGTGCCGAGAAGAAAGCGAAGCGATGAGGTTAGTAGCTCTCCCATTTAGCTTTGAAAACCCTTCTTCTTACCCGGATGAAATACTTCGGCTCCCCCCTTACCTACAAAACACAGTGCTGGCAGCGAAAGCTAACTCTAATCAGTTTAGCAATCTTCGTCGGTTTTGGCCAGGCCCACATGTGCAGGAAGGAATCACGGTACCCGATTGGGTAACCTATGAATTGGGAGTCAATATGAAATATTTGTATCCAGTTACTTTTAATAAAGACCTCCTCACGGAAGCTTATAATGATTTTACCTACCGATTGCGTTGGAAATATTATTTCTTTAAAAGTGACAAAAAAGATGATGAAACGTGGAACCCGGACTTTAAGATCCCTAGGGAACGAAAAGATCCACCCAAAATGAGCCAACAGCTAGAGAGGGGTGTTGATCGCGGCAGGCAAACGTTGATTTCAATGTGCGTCAAACCCTTCAACACCAGAACAAACCGAGATCGTCGTCCTCGGTGGAAGCAGCTCTCTGAATTCCTTGAAAGTCATAACCTGATGATCAAAGGAAGCGATAAAAACCTAGGCCCGGTCATTTTTGGACGCGACTGGTATGTCACGGAAGTTGAAAAATTACTCCAAGACAAGACCAACTATTACGAACTTGACCCAGTAAGAGTCGGTGAGTATGAAGGTCCTCGTGACTGGATTACTTATGCGGATGCGATAAATGGCGAGATGCTTCGGCGTCACGTCCCTATCACTGCTGGATCGTTCCAATGGTTAGCCAATACCATCCACGAAGTCGGTCTTGAAATGAATTATTTCATTGAAGCCGCACAAACGGTGTTACCCGCTCAAGAACATGAATACCTTAAAAGGTGGAAACATGATGCGGACGTACCCAGGTTCCATGGAATCCCTAAGATCCATAAAGAACCCTGGAAAATACGACCCATCTGTCCTGGACATTCATGGGTAACATCCCCACTCGCAAAGTGGGTGCAGGTACAACTCAAAGATACGACTAAAGCAATCCCTTGGGTAGCCCAAAGCACCCGGGATGTCGTAGATTTGTTGGGGTTAGTCAACCTCCCTGCAAGAGGAACTGTACGTAATATTTACGTATGTACAGGGGACGTCGTAGCGATGTACCCTAATATACCTAGTAACGCTGCAGATATTGTCTACACGTTACTTCAAGAGTTCCCGGATTATCTCGCAGAGCATCTAGTCAATCGACGCGATTTAATCCACCGTGCAATATCGATAGTCAATAAATTTTCCGTAATGGAATTTAATGGCAAATTCTACGCGCAGAAGAAAGGTTTAGCCATGGGAGCTGCTTGCTCCCCAGACGTCGCAAACCTCTATGCAGCGAAATATGAATTCGATAACCAGAGCAAATTTCTGGAGAAAGATGTCAACGGCAATGGAGTCCTATTCTACTGCCGTTATATCGATGACATCCTTTCTATTATTCAAGCAGACTCGTTGGAGCAATGCAGAGCTATACTGAATAAGCACAATCTAGGCCCGACACTCCAAGTCGAATGGGCCATAATGCGCGAAGGCGAGGGACCTAGTCCATTCCTTGACTTAGATATCGATATCTTAACTGGAGAGACCCGCGTGGACTATAAACTCTTCAGGAAACCCTTCAATCACTTCATGCGCATACCATGGGAAAGTTCACATCCGATCACCGTAAAACGTGCCGGATTTCAAGGAGAACTAACCCGGATAGCCACCTGCTCGTCTCGGAAGGAATTCTACAAAACGGCAGTAGCAGAGTACGTGGAACTACTCACCGCACGTGGCTATCCTCGTCAAGTGTTACATTCTTGGACACAAAACGAAGTCGAAAAGAGATGGGGCCTCGCCAAAGATAAAAAAGAATCTGAACCACAAAGGCTCGCCCCGATAATCTTCAAGACGGAGTACAATGACGTATGGAATGGAGTTGACATTAACAGTGTCAAGGCTACGATACTGGAGACATGGAATGAGCTGATAGCGACGGATACCACCGATCGCACATTCGCAGAAGCCATTCGTGATCACAGGTTTGTCATATCGTACAAGAGAACACGTAATCTCCAAGACGACGTGTCTATTCTTAACGCCAAACTTTCTCGAATGCACATTGATGACTTCAGAGAGATTGTTGACCGGGGTGCAAACGACCTCGCAGATCTATTCGCCGCTCAAAGACGGGAGGACGATAGTTCAACTGATGAAGACGATATAATGTACCAACCTCTAGTACCCTTTCGCGAGGCGAACGACAGCGGAGCTGAGTAAACGTCATGACCGTGAACAGATTCGCAGCAACGAACAGGCTATGGCTGTTCTATTGAGCGATGAGATGCGGAGCTTAACCGTTGCAATGCCCTTTCGGGCAAAACAACAAATTAGCACTGCGTAGGAGAGACCCGTGACCCCCGTTAGTGGGACGGTGGATATCTCTAGGACATGATTAGTCACTCAGTTTTAACGTTATGTTAGAATCGGATGTTGACCAAATCCAATCCAACAGCCTTGAGCTACGGAAAGGAAGGCAACTAGATGCCCTGGACTACGGTGTTCGAAACACCGTCCCCTTCGGGGGGTTACTTTAATAGTAGCACCAGGCTCGAAACCCTAACCCTAACCCTAACCCTAGGCTAACCCTAATTGAGTAAGTGTACCCACACTATTCTATTTACGGGCAGTTTAGTAATACATTGTATTTGTAATGAGGTGTACCCCCACCCTTGCAAGCGGGCTAATAGAATGTCCGACTCCGACCCGGAGCCGGGACAATACTATCCCGCGTCTTGGCGCGATCTTATGTATATAAGCGCACCATCGCTGCTGCCCTGAAGAGCTTCATCATACAGCGAAACAGTAACTGAGTACCCAAATACCTTTACTGTCGGCACCATCTTGCAGCTCTTCTTGAGATCCTCGTTCCTCATTTACCTAACCCTAACTAACCCTAACTAACCCTAACTAACCCTAACTAACCCTAACTAACCCTAACTAACCCTAACTAACCCTAACTAACCCTGACTAACCCTAAGTCACCCTAGGTGGCTGAGCACTTCTGTTTGCCTTCTTCTAGAGTTGACTTTTGAAGTACTACCTTTGTTACCTCCTTCCCAGCAATTTAACTTTGTTTTGTTGCAGTTTTGTGAAAAATTCAGTTTCTGACTTGTTACTTGAGTTAGTTTATAATATGGTGCCTACTTGCTATCAATACAATGTAATTTAGTACACAATTTGGCACCAAGTAGATGTCAATTAAATCTCTGTTCTACATCAATTTGGGACTCGATTTGGCCATTGATTTGCTTCCCGCAGCGGTATTCGTAAAGTTATCTAAATCCAGTAATAGATGCAACCAGAAGGTAGTAATCAAAGTAGCTGGTAAGGTACCGCCAGCTGAAATATGAAGGGGGAATCCTCACAGTATAATCTGTCAAATTTGATATCATTCGCCACTGCCCAAGCAATCAGAACTGGGTTACGGCAATATCCTATTTCAGATCACCGGAATAAACAAAGCATGATTGGTCATCTCAGGGATTAGTTAACCATGTTGCGTGGAAACGACAGGCAGCATGGAGAGTCCAGTTTAGTGGGATTAGTGCACCGTTGACAGCTAATTATATATGACTCCATTGTTTTTTACTGATATAGATGTATTGGCGGTGAGGTGTTGTTGCAAGCGCGGGCTATGGATGTGTAGGCTGTGGAGGTGAGAGTTATACCTGAGAAAGTAGTGAAACCTTGCAAATTTGTATGTATCGCAGGTGTAAACTTGCTTACGGTCAGGATGCAATGCATCCATACAGGTAAAACAAACGCCTCACGACGCTTGTTCTAGGAGGCAAAAGCAAGTCAACCGTACGTCCCCTATATATCAAAGGAGAAGTGGGTGAAGGGGACTGTACAGCACGTAGAACTGCATACTATAGTGGTCTCCGTGTTTTTGGGGATGGGGGGGGCTAACCTTAACCCTAAGTTCACCCCATCAGAAATGAGTATAATCAATTTGGGACCCAATTTGCCCATTGATTTGGTTCCCGCAGCGGTATTCGTAAAGTTATCTAAATCCAGTGGTAGATGCAAGCAGGAGGTGGTGATCAAGGTAGCAGGTAAGGTACCGGTAGCTGAGGTATGAAGGGGGAATTCTCACAGTATCATCTATCAAATTTAATATCATTCACCACTGCCCAAGGAATCAGAACTAGGTTACGGCAATATCATATTTCAGATCACCCGAATAAGCAAATGATCATTGGTCATCTCAGGGATTAGTTAACCATGTTGGGTGGAAACGACAGGCAGCATGGAGAGCCCAGTTTAGTGGGATTAGTGCACCGTTGACAGCTAATTATATATGACTCCATTGTTTTTTACTGATATAGATGTATTGGCGGTGAGGTGTTGTTGCAAGCGCGGGCTATGGATGTGTAGGCTGTGGAGGTGAGAGTTATACCTGAGAAAGTAGTGAAACCTTGCAAATTTGTATGTATCGCAGGTGTAAACTTGCTTTCGGTCAGGATGCAATGCATCCATACAGGTAAAACAAACGCCTCACGACGCTTGTTCTAGGAGGCAAAAGCAAGTCAACCGTACGTCCCCTATATATCAAAGGAGAAGTGGGTGAAGGGGACTGTACAGCACGTAGAACTGCATACTATAGGGGTCTCCGTGTTTTTGGGGATGGGGGGGGCTAACCTTAACCCTAAGTTCACCCCATCAGAAATGAGTATAATATGACTCAGGTGAACAAGGCAAAGATTACTGTAGGTTTGCTCAACTCACCTAAAGTCTACACTAATACCCGCAACAGCCTTAAAGCGCAGATGCAGAACGTCGGTTGGGTTAATAAAAGCACTTCCAGGGCCGTAGTGCTCGATGCTCTATACCTGTAGGTGATACAGGCACATATTTCCAGTTCAGCCTGCCAACATGCCTACCCGGCGCGCTGCCTACCCTCCTGCCCGCTAAACTCCCTGCCCGCCGACCTCACAGTTAAGTAATGAG